ACGATCGATCGCACAACAATCACCGATTTTGTCGCCCAATAAAACCGCTTGAATTGAATTAGGATAAAAGAACTACCAAGTTCGATCTTAGGGCTTTTTTATTCTCAACCGATGAATATGTCCGCTTTGAAACAAAGTTGTCTAAACGGTCGCACAGGCTTTCTTTCAGTTATTCTTCATCATAATAGGTCACCTAAGAACTGTCAGTGCACTCAGTGGTTATTCGAATCGGCTAACTGGTAAGATAATCCAATGCATTGGGATCCTGAAGTGATCGAGGTTAGGAGAAAGCCGGGTACACTGCCTTGCCTTTCAAAGGGGATACATCAGCAGAGGTAATACGAAGGAGCCTACCCCTTGTTAACTGTGGTGACTGAGGCCTCGTCAATGTCTAAGGAAATACGTTGATCACGCATGACCCATGTTAAGAAAGTGCATCGGATAGACTGCGTTCTGCTTCGTTCAGTTCGGTGGGCTGAGCCACGAATGGGGGAGCTACATTTACGGTGTAACTGCTTTGGTTGCTAGGCCATGATGACGACTAGGCCATTCACCTAAGTTCACCTCAAGAACTCCAACCTCTGTCACTGAACCAATATCGTTATTCAGATAGACCCATGATACTCGTAATGAAAAGTGCATGAAAAGTACGCTTGGATTGCACCGTAAGCCCAAAACTCGTCCCCGGTCGTAGTTACTGTGGTCAGCTTGGATTATTGAGCTATGGTCAATGTTAGAGCAACTACGAACAGTTCTACTTTAGCTGTAGTACGCACGAAACAGTGCGTCACCCTTCATATCGAGTGGCGTCCAGCTTGGTTGTCACACTTGGCTTCACCAACCCATCGATTCGACGTCCGTCACAGAGCTGGACAAGATGCACGACGGAGGTCTGCCTCATTTCAACACAGAAAGAGTGTGGAAAGACAAGTGGTCAATCTGGGGGTAGAAAAAATGTGTGATCAATTGAGGTACGTTGAACGGAAGCGGATCCAACCACAGCGTTTCATTCTCAAGTCAAAGTGATTTCTCAATTCAAAATGACGGTTTCGCAAATGAAAATCATAGTTCCTCAAGTTCAACTTAAAATGGTATAGTGGGAACCAATTGATATACAGGTGTGACTGTTAGTAATCAGGGCCCGCCGTGATTTGACAGCTCGGTAGGCCTATGTGTGTGTCAGCGTATGTATGTGCAGGTGCACAGGTGTCAGGATCAGTCGAACATGGGCACGGCTAGATGAGACAGGTGAGACCAACGTAGCGTAGCGTAGCGCATCAAACACACTAATGGTGCGTGCATAAGTGCAGACGGCGTGGAGAACAGTCATAGACATGGATCGATGGGAGATCGAAATCAACACCACACGCACAAAATAGGGGGATGGAGAATAGGAATGCACATGTAAAGAATGTCAATTTGTGACAGAATTTATTCAACAACCAACCTGACCCGACGCACTCCGACCCCTGTACAAAGTTGCATGCGTATGTGAACTCGTTTGTACAATCCATCCCGCCCTATGTACTCCAAAACAACTTGTGCAGATGGTTAAACTCCCACGAGGCGACACCACACCCAAATTCATCTTCACAATCGACTGCACTAACCATCTATTGGTGAACATCAGGAATTGGCCCCGAGTAACAGGCAACCATAACTTTCCCTGCTCCCACAATTTCACGCTTGACTACTGATACATGGCTAAACATATATTATAATGCATCAGCGTGTTCAAGAATCTAAGAGAACAAAATCCCGTTTTTGCTTTCGTCTGCCACTCACTCGCTGAGAATGGGTCTTTGTCCTGCATGTTTTCATCAGATTAAGGATAGTTGTGGTACTCAGAATAATAATGAGAATCAAATAGTGCAAACTGGGACGCGGAGAGAAAAAGCACAGAATATGTCTGAGTCATACTGTTGATGGAGTTTACCTGTTCGAGGCCGTCGCTATTAGATTTTTCCCACCGCGATACGTATAGATCGGTGAGTACCAGAGATGACGAACAGAATTAGGGATTCTGGCTACCATAAAAATTAAAGTGGAACTATATTGCTTTTCGGTAATACCTTGAGAATCAAGTGAGCATGAAAACTTCTGCTGACTGTTAGAGCCCGTTTTCAAATGTCAATTGTTTATGATTTTATTTATACATGCTCATCTTGATCGTGANTGATCGTGATATATCACTTTTGCTATCATAGCACAATCTGCAACGGTACACCGTTGAAGGACAACTACACAAGTTGGAAGAAGCTGTGACGGACAGTCACGTGACCATGTACGGTGATAGGGTGAGCACTCGGTTTGACTGTATTATTTACTGGGGATCAGTTCTTTTCATTCGTATGAGTTTTCAATAAACAACAATTTACCATCTTTTCATTTTCATTTTCTTTAAATTATTTTACCTCCGTTCCGATAGCACTAAAAGAATACGTAGGAAATTCTGTTAAATCGTTCCGTTTGTGAAGCTTTATATATGTGATTATCGTATTCTTTAGAGTCGCCGAAATCCCACAATTTATGCTAGTAATCTTCAAACTGTGAATAATGCTTCCGAGATTCAAACAAACAGAAAGGACTGCGCAATAAACTATCAGAAAATAATCCGACCAACACAGAAATCATGTTATCATCCCAAGCAGGGATTACTCTTCCTTGTTAGAATGCAGGTTCTTGAATGTGGGAGCATTAGTCAAATACGTGTAGCCCAAATCGCGTTCTATCTTAGGGAACCTTTTGTCCAACTAGACCATCGTATGGAGAATGTTCAGGGTTAACCTCTCAACCGTTTACGTGCAAACGTTTTGGCAGATGTGAGCCTCATTGTAAATGACTCCGCTCTCTTGTTAGGTGTTGAAGTTCATCAACAATCAAGGCGTAAGTTTTCTGGATTGTGGCGATCGCAAAATCGTTGTACCATTGAATGGAGCTCCAGGTTGGTTGCACTTTCTGCTCCAAATGTTTCGGGTTCGGTATGTATTGCACACATTCAAAGCGTAAATTTTCCGGTTCTTGATTTTCGGTTGACAACAGAACGAGAAAATAGAATAGTTCCGGCGGTCGCATCTGCTCTAACGGACAAACCCTGAATGAGGTTTCCACTATCATGCACAACTCTCAAGTCAAGTCAAGGAATGGATTTATACACTTCGAGAGGTGAATATTCAGTAACCACAACCATAGTGTGTCAACAAAAAGTGAAAAAACCATATAATTGTAGTATTCGCATTAGGAGTCGAAATCGAATAGCGCGAACTCTGTATCGGACTGTAAACCCACTGAATAGCGCAAAGTCAGGTAGAACCAAGAAGAGTTGTGGATACAGTTAGTTCTTTTCAGAAAATCATGGAAATATATATTACAAGCAACAAACAATCATTGGTCGATTCTTGAATGTTCAATCGACAAGGATATGGTTTATCTGTTTGCGTTCTTGCACTCAGTCAATCCGGATGATGCCAATTGAGACGACAGGGTTGGTCGGTTATCCTGCTTCTTGATTGGTTACCTGAAAACTGTACTGCGGTGCATGCGTACTCGTTACAGGATCACTACAATAATACAGCAATGAAAGGACGTGAAAAAGGACAGCAATATCAAAACCAATGACATACCCTAGTGCTTGTGATTGATTTGGTTTAGCGTTTTGCGCAGATTTCCTGCAACGAGTTCATGGTTTGTTAGAAGATAAGGCGTGTCTTTATAAGTTTGTGATTGGAACGGGTGGATCAGTGAGAAAGGCACTGAAAAAGGGCAGAATGTAAAGGATGGGAAGTATCAGATAAAATCTTGTTGGAGAATGTTTCACAGGACTTGAGGTGATGTGTCACCACATATTGTACCATATCTTCCGTGGTATGAGACTACAAACTGACAGAAATTTGAAGGATCGGGAAATGAGTTTCAGGTCCCTGTTAAAAATACCAGGGAAGATAACAAGAGGCCCATAAAGCCAGTGAGGCAAAACGCATGCAAAGACAAAACGTCTTATGAAATGGTTTGGAATGGAAAGTGATTTAGGACATAAAACCTAAAAGGTGAGCCTCCTGTCCTTCGGAAGAACGTCAATACCGTGGTCAGAGCAGGTGTGGTTATCGTTGAAAATAACGCCAAGGTATCTGACAGACAGTTGTCGTTCTACCTGATCACCGATGATAGACAAAGGCGGGCTGGTGTTTGACAATTCATTATCCTTTCGCCCTTTAAAAAATATTACTTCATTAAATTTTTGGGGGTTCGTGCAGAGTTTCCTTTGTTGTGACTCATCAGCTACTTCCAACACGTCTTCTTGTAGAGTGGTTTGAAATGACGAGTTGGGGTACGACAGTCCGAATATTATATCGTCAGCATAGTTGACTAGAAGGTAAGAATTGCTCCCAGGCATAGAGGAAATGTAAGCAGAAAATAGAAAAGGGGATAAATAGCGCCTTGCAGTACGGCTGTTGAAGAGGGCAGCAGTGAAGATGTACAACCTTAGTGGCGTGTGAACTGATAACGGTTAGAGAAATAGTTGGCCAGGAGTTCAATCGTAGAAGGTTGAACTTTGCCCGAAGAGAGGGTATTTAACAATGTTTCTCGATCAATTTTGTGGAAATCATCACTGTGGTCAAGAAAACATATGCGTACAGCCTTGCTTTTCTTATCCAGGTTGGATAAAACAAAGTGAGATAGATAAGGAAGGTCATCCAGGGTACCGCAGAAATTTGTGTATGCAAACTGGTTCGGGTCACCAGCATTGAATTGTGTGGACAGGATACTAATTAGGAGCCTCCAAACACCTTCAAGACAACTAAGGTGCAGAAAATGAGACGGAATTTTGAGGATCCTTTCTTCGGTACAGGGGTGATGGAGGCCTTTCTCCGGCAGTCGGGTATACTTTGCTGCGAAATAAAATCATTGAAAAGTTTATCAGTACAGGGGAAAGGAAGGCAGCAATTCTCTGAGAACAGTGGATGAGACTCCGTCGGGGCCACAGGAATTGTAAGGATTTAATCAAGCCAACTCTTGATAAATATCGATAAGTGCAACGTTGGAGACGGGACAGTGGTGTTTACTCCATATCCATTAGGTAGAGCAGTGAGAGCGGTTCCACCGTTGACGAAACTCTGATTCAGACTGTTGTATTCAGTAGAACTCGTAATATACACGTAAGTAAATCCTTTTTAATTAACAGAGAACGGTAGCAATGTGATTCATGAAAATTAGCAGAAGCATGTCCTCAGCCGGTACTGGCCGTACAAGTAATCTGCAGTCATCCAATCAATACCAAGCATACACGTGGTGCAGTCTGATTGGTCAATGTAATCAAGGTTGCATGTGAGGAACGTCCATGTCACGTGCGTGTATGTCTGTGTCTGTGTGTGTGTATCGAGTATTGATGTTGCGCGTTCAAGGGGGCAATGAATACAAATGTTATCGAACAAATGCGTTAAACAGCACAACACAGACCATTTATGTCCACCGCAGCGGATGAGCGGTGTGAGGATTTGATGCCAGAAATTTGCACGAGAGCCTGCCAGGTCTCACGACTACCTTTGTTGTCAACCGGCGCACGGACGTATATTGGGTTTAGCCTTCGAATTTCAGTCCGGATGGATTTAGAAATGGAGCGCACTACGTCGCGCTTATACATTTTGAAGATACGGTCCTTTCTATGGCGGAGCTGTTTGAGGTTTTGGGAAGAGAAATGCAATCCAGACGAATATAAATTGTCTCTGAGGCACAACAGTAACAAAAGTCTAAGTAGCTTGTTAATTGATCACAGAAAACGGAAGGGTTGGGATCAGAAAATAAAGTAAGGTCGGAGTGTCTGATCGTTACCCTTAACATCGTGAGGTTTTCTGGAGAACACTGTCCTACTTAAAGCTTGTGATCGCTACTTCGAGTGAAGAGACGATGGTTCGTTCTGATAAAGATGGTAGAGGAAAACTTCAACATAGAATGATCAGAAACTCCCACTGGGGGAGATGTTCTACAAGAAATAAATTGGGAATGCTGATAAGACCACAATCCAGATGTGCATCAAGCCTAGTGGGAAAGCTAACAGTGTTTTTAAGACCTAAGGTGGTTAAGAAACGGGTATCGGAATTATTGAAGTCACCACAAATGATACAGAATGAAGTATCTACATATTCAATCAGCGTAGTTGAAAGAAAGTCATAACAATTATTAAGAACATTCGATGAGCAAGAGGGGGCTATATACACATTTACAAGAATAAGTGACCGGGAAAAGCTGAAATTTCTGGGCTTACATTGAATTGCTAATGCGTTTATATAAAGTGTGAAAAAAGAAAACATTTTTGGTCAGATGACACCACTGACTTTTGGCAAACGTGATGACGCCACCACCCCGTCTGGAGTAAGGAACAGGACGATCAACATGATAGCTAGCGAATCGATCCAGTTGTATTATTTCATCCTCAATTTCATCATAGAGCCAACTTTCATGTAGCATCATCACACCTAGTTGAGCAAATTCCCAGAGGTTGACTAAACTGGTGAGATCGGCCATACTTCCGACAAGAGATCAGAAGTTACAAATGAGAATAATGGGAACACACAAGCGGGAGATGGTTTGTTTCCGAAAAGCAACTTTCCAACCGGCTCGATCCTTCCTCGGATTTTTGGAAGCTTCTTGAACGTCCTTATTGTTTTATTCCTTATAGTCCTTCCAAAACAGGTTGTGGCTGCACATTTGGTCAATTTGTTTGAATGTATGGAATCCCGGGTGTATTCGATCAACTTTGTCATTTCTGTAGTAGCACAACAGTCGTCTTGGCAACCAAGATAAAAGTTAATACGAATGATGCAAAAAATTTAGACACAGTTATGGTTATGCAGTGAATAATCCGATGATGAAAAAACGGATAGCGCGGCTGAAAATCGAAGGCTCCACCGCAGGTATTATGTATGCTTGTATCCGTTCTTTTATATATCTATTCTCCTCCACCCAACATTTTTGTCCCTTGTTCTCATTCTGTTTGACTCGGTTCGTCGTTAAATTGATGTGTGGGAGAGAGGGTGGTAGGGGCGGTGGTTTTCCCTCCGCCATGATTGTGGTTTCGGTCCATTCTCAGTTCACGGCGTGACCTTTTTTGTTGCGTCATTTGACATTTATGTTGCATTGGCGTATACATGTGATCCAGTTCGATGTGCCTGTGTATTGAGTTGATTGAGGAGTGCCAAGCTTCGAGAAATTCTCTGACGTGTTTTGACCGGGCTTGGTCAATCTCTTCCAGGAAAAGCTACATACAAATTAGCAAATAAATTATGGGAACGACTGAAGCCGTTCATCGCTGGACACGAGTGTAGCGTCATGAACTCAAGACAGCTCCTAGACAAGCTCCAAACTGTCAACAACCAAGAAGACGAAATAATGGTCTCGTTNGTTCTAGTTCCGACTTCTTCAAGATGACGAATGTGTCATCAACATATTGGAACCAACGTTTCACATGATTTTTTGTAGTACTTTCTTCTCCAGCTTCTGCATTACGGCTTCGGCTGTAAACCCAGAAATTGGTGATTCCATTGGTGTTTCTTTGATTTGTTCATATATTTCATCCTCGAATTTGAAGTATATCTGCATGCACAGTTCCACGTATTCGCAAATTGCACCTGGTTCCATTGGTTGGTGTGGTGGGTGCTCATTTACCAATTCCCGCAACTTGGATCTTGCCAGGTCCAAGTCGATCGAAGTGAACAAAGTGGTGACGTCG